TTTGCAACCGTATGGCTGGGCGATCCGCAGTGTGGGAGGGAGATTGAGCAGTGCCAAGTGCGGATCAACCGTCTTTTCAGCAGATGGATGGCACGCACCCACCATCTCCAAGGCAATCTGGCTGTGCGCATGGGACGCAACAGGATACCTGAAGACCGACGTTACCAATTCCTCCTGCGCGAGGCGACGCGGAGGCTCTTGGAGAAAACCAATGACGATTGTGTTGAGCAAGTGGACTACATCCTACAATTGAGCTTTCCGTCATTGTATACAAAGACGTGAGCAGCGCAGGCATGACATGGGAAATGGGCATATCAGCTTGAATACAAATGAGACAGTTGCGAGAACATACGTTTTGAATAAACCATAGGTTGTGTTACTCCTACTCTAACAAAAGTCAGCCCCCCAAGGATGAAGATCTCTGTTCGTTCCAATATGTGGCCTCCAATTGACTCTTCATTCCTCCAGCCACTCGACGAAGAAGATGATAGGGCGCATCCTGAACCATGGATTGGCTTTTCTTTTGGATCATCGGTGATATGTGTCTGGAATCATCATTATTGACCATCGCAGTAATCAGTGGAGGATCTGGTACATACCTATGTTTCGTCGAGCGCACCAGGATACGGCGGTGGGAGTCACATAGCAGATGTTTTGTGATAGAATTAAGGCAAGATTCCCTGGCGGTCAAGTCGGTCATGTCTTGAAGTAGTTGCAGCTGTGTATGTGCGATCTCACGCCACTGTAGATCGACGTCGTATGGGCAGGGATGCCCGTTGTCTAACAACCCAATGCATCTTTCGCGATGGAGAGGATCGTAACACAGGGCAACGCGTCCATAACTAGCCATGGCTAATTGGTAAACGTGAGTTTAAAAAGAAGATGGGGACAGACTGGCGAGACTGTAGGAAAGTGGCAAATTGTGTGAACAATCTGGGAGGGCGCCTGGCCTAGATATAAGTCTGATATTGGTGAAAGATTCTTTTCACTTCGATGTCTGCAGAAAACGCTATTCAAAGAGCTGCATAGTCCCCTCATGGCTATACGATGACCCCCGAAGACGGAGAACAATCATGCAAATGTGGAACGTCGTAGGAAAGTGGTAGTTATTCCTCGGAGCAATCATCACTATCCTAGGAACAAGCTTTTCAGTCGTGGGAGCCATCAACTTCCGAGGGCCCCTAGGCTAAAGCTTGCAAATTCCTGGTGGCGTGTGTAGCTTAACCGCACTCTCGTCGCTAGCAAGATCGGTTGCCCACCGAACGGTTACCGGACGAACCAGGCTTCCTCACGCGCCACTATCACCATGGTGCCCCGACGCTTCCTGTATATGGTTGACTAAGCGCCATCGGAGAGAGGATAGCTTTGCTAGTACTGACATCTGCCGGTCGTCGGTTCGCCCATGTACCAGTCAGCGTGTCTGGCCATGCGGCGGAAGAGAGGGTGGAACATTGGGGCATTGCCAATGATGACTGCGACGAAGGTTCTGCGGCCAGGCCCAGCTACAGGCCTGGGAAGCGCCATTCGCCCCGGCCCCTCATGGTTAAAAATGGCCCGGTGAGGGAGTTCCAGTGTCGACAGCCAGCTAGAGGGACGTAGGGTCACGATCGACACAACACCGAATATCATTGGCCATAAGATGCCACCGCTCAAGAGGACGATCAATTGGAACTGTTCCGACCATGAAGGGCGGGTCTCGATAAGCCTCTCGCACAGTCAGTTGGTCAAATCGCTTCGGCTATGCCTTTCAGGGTATGCGCACCGGGAGGGGAAAGAGTAAAAGCACATCCGGCACGACGCACAAAGTCACCGTGACATCTAAATCAATACACGAGAGACGACGGGCTGAAGTACAACAAGTGGTGCCTCTGCCCCAGGATTTCGAGTTTAAAGAGCATGATTGTATATAATCCGGGGCTGACGGTGTCCTGGACTTTATTCGGGGAACGGCAACACTGCAGGATTGACCGGAGATAGATGCGCTGTTCAGCCACCGAGCGACAGTGCCAGCACCAATAGCCGTGGTGGCAAGATACACTGTATCAAGGATACTAGGTTGCTAGCCTGGAAAGGGCCCGTCAAAACAATTAATGTACTGCCTATGTACTGTCATCACATAGAATACTAGAGCCAGGTTCACCGCTTCGACAATCTCGGACAATTTATATAAGCGGGAAATTCACCCCAATCAATCTGTCTTATGATGGCTTGAATCAACGGCGAATATACATTAGATCCTATTCAGAAAAACATGAGAACAATATATAAATCCCTTGTAGGAGAGCATGGTCGTCATCTGACCTCCAAGCAACAACCGGTATTTTCGCCTGTACGAACTCACGCGTTGCAACTAGCGAAGCACCAACGCTCGTCCCGGAATCTGCATTCCGCCAAAAAATTACATTGAAGCGGCGCCGTTCTGGCAAGAGCCGAATACCAATGTTGTGCTGACGGCACTGATCAGAGTGTCATATCCCAGACCCCTTGGGCATACGAGATGCTGCTCCACACCAAGACGAGATGCATCGCGTACAGGCTCGGATGCCAGTTGCCCACCAACTCTAAACGCTCGGGAACCTGCGCAGCACAGCCGGCCGCCGCCAACAAACTCCACGTAGCAATCCGGACGAGATTAACGGTCAACGGTGGTGGACTTTCCTGTGTCTGCAGCGCATGAACTGATGGTACCAATGCCCAAAACCCAAGCCAGAGGCAATCCCAGTGAAAGCTGCTCCGTGCCATGGACGAGTCTGAGGTCTGAGCGAGGATTGTGCTGATCTTGCCGATGGCCAGACTGGTCAAGCCGGAAAGGTAGACAGAGCGGAGATAGCTTTGCTGCCGATGGGCCGCAGCGATACTCGGGACAGCCGTAGTGTAGATCAGAGCCATAGTGCCTGCCATCTGAGATTTCCCCCAACGTGCGGTTTTGTCCCCGTGAAAGATCCATGATGACTGACAAGTCAGGCTGGACAGCTCCCAGAGCAGCACCCCCATACTGTAGAATGTAACCACCTGTGCCTTGAGAATGGCGCCGGGAGACTTGGGGAAATGATAGAGAAAGAAGGAAACCACGAAACAGACGAAGTAGGAAATCCCAAACAGATGTATGAGACCAAGCATCAAGCCATCGCGATATGAGATCTGGGCGTCGAAGTCCATCGTCGGTGTATCGTACGGTACGAGGGGAGGATGAGGCAAAATCTCGACGGATCTTTCGAGTGCAGATATCCACTGCGCTGTCCACATGGTCCCAGAGCGAACGTCCACGGAGTCTTTTAAATCATCGTGAACATGGGAAGCTCGTACTGTAGCTTATGAAGACTTTCTCTAGTTTGGCATGGGGAAGCACGTCAGCTCCCCATCTCCGAAGTTATTGAGGGCCATGCGGGTCAATACGGTTCACCAATAGGACAGCCGTTGACCAATCTCCGCAGGCCCGGTTAAATCAGTCGACCGTATGCTATGGGACCAATTATCC